TTTGATTCTAAGAAAAGAGTAGGTAAAAATTAATATTGGCTTCATGAACATTTAATAGTTAATAGTTTAGGAAACGTATTTTAAGTTACTATGTCGAATTAGGTTAAGTTATCTGTAATGGCAAAGTAATTGTATTAAATAAATAAATAAATAAATAAATAAATAAACATGAAGACATCTACAACTGGATTTAAGATTATGTAAACTCACATAATTCCTGTAGAAAGCTGTACATACTCTTAAAAAAGTAATCAAAACAGCCAACCATAGCTCACAACAAAAAAATAAACAACCTATTTTAATTCTACATTTAAAATAGGAAATGGCGCGTTCCATTCTATTTCTTGTTGGCGGTAAAAGGTGGTAAGATAAATGGTTAATTGACGCCGGCGCCTGTAGGGCACGGGACGGTGGCCCCTTTACATGGCTTCACACCTCGTTAGCATCGCACGAATACTGGGGGGATACCAGGACCATACTGGCGATAAATTGCACTACTTACAGAGAATACGAAAATCAGTTTTGTTATTTTCACTCTTGTTCTGTGTAAAGAAGATTATCTTCACTGCCATTGATAAAATTTTAAAGGTCATCTTTGTGCCCACGACCACTGCACTGGCCAAAAAAAAACAAACAATCAATTACCATAGTAGTTAATGAGTTGCTCGAAATGATAAAAGACTTTTTACAAATGCTTCGTTTTACAAAACGATAAAACAAATGAATATTTGATACACATTTAAATTGAAACGTAAATTAATTATCTCGTGTGTAATCCGTTCATTAATGATTGCGAATGTTACATCTTTCCGTGATCGTTTACCATATTTTAAAATGCGTCGATATTATGCACAAGCGCAAATCACGCGAGCAATGCACGAATTAGAATGACAGATGTGACACAGGGACGTAATTGGGGCGGTAAATTGGGTGCAATAATTTATTGCTTTTTTTTGTTTTGAAATATCTTTTACCGAACATAAAATCACGCAAGGCTTTAAAGTACCATTGGTCGAGGAACGTCGCTAGAAGTTTTATACCATGTATTTAGTTTTTATATTTCGAATAAGTAACAACTTTTTCATGATTGGTTGTTACGTAAACATAATTCACTGTTCTGGTTATCCCTTTAGTCTGTGAACATTACAACACACGTAAGATTATCATAAGAATCACATTTAGTACTACGTCGATCCATATCCAAAGCTAAATACTTAATTGGTAATCTATATAACCGTAACCGGCCTAATTACTCGTATCATACATCAGTTATATGACCCTAGTCCGCTCCACAATTATTATTATGCTCTAAATAACTGGTTAATAAGCTAATTGTCAGTCTAGACATAAGCATGCATGTGGACAATTATTGCATGCTAGTCTATCGTCGGGCAGCGTCGTGAGCGGCCTAAAAACACTGTCTCCGTGTATAAATTCGTGTATGAATTATCATAGTTTTATACAAAAAGATGCAGTAAGGAGAAAAGTTGCATGTCTATGCTATCCTAGTTATTACAAACTATTCAGAGCATTTTATACGACAAAAAGTTACAACCGTTCTTTATTGTAAATCGCATAAATCACTCAAAGATTCGTTTATAACGACATTAAATTTTGTGAAAGGATACTAAATTGCTTATTAGTACGTCAATTTGTATAATTTATACGCGAAATACTGGTACTTTAACTAATATTCAAATCAGGCAATTACCTCGTTTGTGACACAGAACATTTTCCTGCAGGTACGATGTGCTAGACAAGAGTGAAAATATTTTTATTGACCAAAGGCTTTGTACGAGTTTCTTTTACGTTTATACGAGTAGCGCTCTGATTGGTTGGGTCATTGGTGCCGGCCAATTAGAGCGCCGAACGCTGTTTCGTTTCCATTACTTTAAACGTAAAAGAAACTCGTACTAAGCCCTCATTTTAAGTTAGACATAAACTGCAACCGGTTCCGAATCATTTCAATTAATTTTCCTAATAAATATACCGTTTAACTCCTTTCATTATTCCACACTATTACATAGAACCTTTGACTATTATATAGGCATTTAAAATATAAAATTAATTAATCATTGAAGTGCGATCCTGTAAAGCGGACGGGTATCGAATTAATACAAACAATATTAACAGATAAATAAAATTCACTTTAGAAATATATTTATTTTAATTTTATAAAGATACGATGTATTTTACATGGCTCTTTGCTAGTAATAACTTGTTTCCTACGAAACCATGTCATGTAATATTCATGGTATCTTCATAAAATTCATACTTAGTTAAGCTATATTACGTTGTAAAGGGACAGAAAATTAAGATGCGGTCGTACGGAAACGTTGACCGGGCACGATGCGGTTGAAAAAATCTAATCTAGTAAATTACTCAAAAAACTTACTGAGTTATATTTTCAACCACATGGCTTTGTGTGAGGTAGCACTTTGTATGTACTGTCTACAAAGTCAAGGAATTCTTTTATAATACAAACTACTAGTATGTTTTAGACTCGTAGTTTCGCCTCTAGATTCAGTGAATTAGCCTGTATTATCTTCCTAATTATCTCCAGCCACAAAAATCTTAACACTACAATTCTTTTTCCTGAAAGTGGAATACATAAGGTTATTTCAATGAACTTTAGATACTAATGTAGGAATCATTTTAGGGATGACCTTTCACAAGATGAAACATTTTTACCATCCTGCATATCCCGATAATCTTCAACAATAATTTATTAATACTAGGACTTTGTCTGCCTTTTTTTGAGGGGGGAAAATCATCCAATGACTTCTCCCGCCTTGGGTTCGGCGAGAGGGAGGGTCAGACTCTTACTGACTAAAAACCTACCCGTTCCTACTAATGCTCTTCGAGCTGGAGCCCCGGCAACCCATTAGGCCTTTCGCGGCTCCTGTGGTAGTCTGATGGCTCTTTGAGGTGCCCCCGGAACGCGACGCGCCGTACGCACGGGTCTGCTTCTAGTTGGGTGGCGAGCTACCCTTGCTCGCCGTCCGCAGACCCCATTTACGGTGGCCGGAGATCGTCACGTAATCTCCGACGCCCAATATGTCTTCCGCAACGGCTGGGGCGAGAGGAGGTACCTAGTTTGCCTGCCTGAATATTTAATGAAATCATTAAATAGTATACGCATAAACTTTAGTCATAAATATTCACTTAAGTATCCGAGTTCACAAAATAATTAATGTTTATTAAGGAATCTTAAAAATATACATCCACTTAAGCTCGCAGCCATAAGGTTGGACTTAAGCCTTCATCCTTCGCATACATAAGCCATCTTAACACTTGCATCTAAGACGAGTTTAACTTCTAAAAATACTATAATAACCTAGTTAAGTAAAAGTATTACAGCGAGGACCGTTTCATTAAATTGCCCATTTACTAAACGGCTATCATCTTAATTTATTGCTTGACGATTAAATATCGAAATTACAGGGTTTGAGTCGATAAAGAATGCTACTAACTGGGCTGCGTGGCGGGAATATGCAGTTAGGATTATGAATAATTACTGTAATACCAACCTCCTCTTTAATATCTCTTTAAACTATTTTGATGCGATTATAAATGTCGCCGACATATCGCGTATAAAATCTTTTTACTTGTAATAAGATGTAAATGAATACAAATGGGATAAAAATTAAATAAAGTCATAAGTAAGTGAATTTATGAGTAATAAAATAATGAAATGTGGGAAATAATCCATGTTTATTCGTTTCATTGACATTTAATCATAGGTGGATGCGAAAGCATGAACCGTATATAACCGTTAATAAGTCCATAATACATATAATTAGAATTATGTGAAAATATAGCGTTGTGGAACTTTTATCTGTCTTCTAACTATTGAACCTATATTGATACACACAGCTTTACTTCTTCAATAGTAACTAATTCCATGCCTCTTAACAGATGCAGTTGAAAGTAATTAAAAGAATAATACAATTAATCGAATCGAGTCGATCAAATCAAATCAATAAATTGGGTACTAACATGTGTGTGTGTTATATCAGAATTCCATAATAAGCATATAAAACAATAACGATGACAACGCTATACTTTCACGTTTGTTCACAACGTGTACCTGAGTTGGCATTCTTACTATGTCGGGTTTTTTCCTGTGGAATGCTTTGCAGTTAGTGTGGATTTGAACGTCATTGTGGATAGTTATCTATTCTGTATTTTGGACATTAAATATCTTTTAAGTGAATAAATCAAGTTTCCTTTAAATACTCTAAAACCACTCCGTAACAGTGGTGTCAGAAGTGGGATACAAGGCAATAGTTAGCTAACATCCCCTATAAATTTCGCGGAGTGCGTCCTATGAAGCTGTGAACTCTATACAAAATCTTATAAACTCTTTATACCCACGCGAGTGTGTAAGTCACGAACTTTAAAACCCTAAGTACCATTGCTAGAGAGCTGCGACAGTAAGTCTTACACGTAAGCCTGCCACCCGCTAGCTTGCCACCGGTTCGTGCCTCCACGTGTCTCTGCCACGCCACAACGCCACGTGGTCGAACCTGTTCGAGTACTTCCTCTTACCTGATACCGGATACCTGCTATCCTGTGGTCAGGTCTTGCTGCTGTCAACCTGCCAAACTAGGTACTTACCTGGTTCACCTGGTGCCATTGCCATCAGTACTAATATTGTACACGTTGCCACTACAACACGTGTCTGGCAACTCACCTAGCCGCTGCAATCGTATTCCCGCTGGTGTCCTGGTTCCTGCTGACGTACTGCTGTGCGTCCTTTGCTGCGAATTACCTGCAAGTGCCACGTTACAGCCTACTTCGAAGTCCGCGATGTCCACACTCCTTCTCGCAGTGCTATTGTGAGTCGAACATTTTGTCGTTTGTTATTGCAAATCCTTCTATTTTATTTGAAACAACCTTAATTCAATTTCTATTCAAGTTCTATACAATTTCTATACAATTTCATTTTATTATCAAACTCATAATTTATTTATAATTTTATTGCGTCTGTCAAATTTATGATCAAAATGAGTAAGGCCGAAATTTCTCTGAGCGAGCAATATCCTATTAAAATTTTATGCGATTTTATTGATACATATAATGGAGATCGTGAAACCTTGGCTGCATTTTTAACTAATTGTCAAAATTCTCTAGGTTTAGCCTCTGAGAGTCAGAAAAAACTACTGTTAAAGTATATATTATCCAAACTGCGAGGCAAAGCTCAAATTGCTTGTTCCAACAAGGTCTTCGAAGACTTTGATTCTTTACAGTCATTCCTTCGCCAAAATTTCGGCGAAAGGAAACATTACAGTCACCTATTTTTCGAATTACAATCTTGTAGACAACAAGATCGAGAATCAGTGTCACAGTTTGCTTTACGCTTAGAGACCTGTCTCACAGATATGCAGACAGAAATACACAATTCTGAAACAACTAAAAAGGATTTATCTGGCAGAATCGCAATGACTGAAGACCTTGCTCTCCATACATTTACATTTGGTTTAAAATCCAATCTCAGTAACATGGTGCGGTGTAGAAATCCGAAAAACTTAAACGACGCAATCAACATCGCTCTCGAGGAGGAAAAAATCCAAAATTTTACCTTTAAGATTTCCTCAAAATTAACTAAACATTGTAAATTTTGTAACAAGTCGGGTCATTTAGAAAATGAGTGTTTGAATAAAAAACGATCTCAAAATCAAGCTACGACTTCATCTAATATCGGGCCCCAAACATTTTCTAACCCTCGGATCCCAAAACATCCTAGGCCAAGTCAAGTTATTGATGCTTTTTGTCGTTATTGTAAAAAGACTGGCCATGATATTTCACAGTGCTATCGACGCAAATACAATAACTCTAAAGAAAATAATTCCCTTACTCAGCACAATGTCGTGCCACAATCCGATGAATCGTGGGAAGATACTAAAGAACGCGACGATGATTTAAACTAAATAGTCGGGTGTCGTTTTCGTGCCGCCCTGCGCCCGACCGTGTTCTAGGCACAATAACACGAAATTTTAAAAAACGATCTCAATCTCATATGACCATGCGACCCGGTATACAGCCCGAAACTGAAGGTCATCCTAAATCTCAATCTCATATGACCATGCGACCCGGTATACAGCCCGAAACTGAAGGTCATCCTAAATCTCAATCTCATATGACCATGCGACCCGGTATACAGCCCGAAACTGAAGGTCATCCTAAATCTCAATCTCATATGACCATGCGACCCGGTATACAGCCCGAAACTGAAGGTCATCCTAAATCTCAATCTCATATGACCATGCGACCCGGTATACAGCCCGAAACTGAAGGTCATCCTAAATCTCAATCTCATATGACCATGCGACACGGTATACAGCCCGAAACTGAAGGTCATCCTAAATTTCAATCTCATATGACCATGCGACCCGGTATACAGCCCGAAACTGAAGGTCCATCTCAATTATTTTCGGCTAATCGACAGGGTAGCGAGATTCAAACTGAAAGTCAAATTGAATCGTGTGTATTCATGCAACAGGGTGATAGTAAGTCCCAAACTGAAGGCAACCACGTCTTAAAAACCGAATCTCAACAAATTCTGTCAAGAACTGCTATTCCAACGAATCCTTATACCACCCAAAAACAAGAGTATATTACCCCAATTCATGAAATCAAAACATATAAAATATCTCTACCCCACATATTTCTTGATACTAACTATTCAAATAAACCTCTATGCTTTCTTATCGACACAGGAGCTAGCGTGAGTATTGTAAAACTTGGAAAGTTTAATTCAATGCCAGCTTTATCTAAAGATATCATCAAACTTAAAGGCCTGAGCGAAGATGACTCTTTTTATAAAACTCTAGGGTCATTTACGATTGATTTTGAATATACATTGCCTACGAATTCTAAACTTTATTTTAGTTATGTACTGCACGCCGTCAATGATAAAGTAAGGCTAAATTATGACGGTATCTTAGGTAATGACTTTTTCAAAACCTAGAATGCGACGTTAAATATTCCCAAAATTCATTGCTCATTCGAGGCCACCTTATACCTCTAAATTTTAGTAACCCCGTATATATTATTCCGCCTCGATCAGAAGCAATAGTTGAATGTTCTGTATCAAATTGTTTAGAAGAATTGAAATCCATGAAGGTTGGTCTAGTTTTAGATCACATTTATGCTGAAGGCGTTTATGTAGCGAACTGCATTGTCTCAGTCAAACCCAATAATCGCATTAACCTTTCAGTTCTTAATACTACTGAATCTCCAATAATTTTTAGCGACTATTGTGTCCATCTCATACCATTCGAGAACGTATCAGTGTCTTCACAACTGTATAATCATGACAATTGTCAATTTATTAATAATTTAAATAACATGTCTTCATATAGATCGCAGAAAGTACTCGATCTTATCCGGACAGAACATTTAAATCCAGAAGAAACAAAGATGCTCTTAGAATGTTGTTCAAATTACACAGACATCTTCTATCTCGAAGGCGAACCTTTATCTTGTACTAATGCCATTGAACATTCTATTAACACGGGTGACGCCGCCCCCATTCACGCCAAATCTTATCGTTTTCCGGAGTGTCACAAAACCGAAGTGGAAAGCCAAATAAAGAAAATGCTAGACCAAAATATCATTCGTCCCTCAAAATCACCATGGAGTGCTCCCATTTGGGTCGTGCCCAAAAAAATAGATTCATCAGGAAAACAAAAGTGGAGAATCGTTATTGATTACAGGAAATTGAACGACGTTACTGTTACCGAAATTTATCCAATCCCGTTAATTACGGACATCCTAGATCAACTAGGTCACTCTAAATATTTTAGTACTCTTGACCTTGTAAGTAGTTTTCATCAATTAAAATTGAGTCCCAAAGACTCACCTAAAACTGGCTTCACCGTGGTAGGTGATAAAATTTCCGGGCACTATGAATTTACTAGAATGCCCTTCGGGCTAAAGAACGCTCCTGCCACATTTCAAAAACTTATGAATACTGTTCTATCCGGTCTTCAAGGCCTTCATTGCTATATTTATTTAGATGACTGTATTATATACAGTCAGAATCTACAATCTCATATCGAAAAACTCAACTTAATCTTTAATAGATTCCGTCAATTTAACCTAAAATTACAACCCGCAAAATGTGAGTTCCTACGACATGAAGTGGCTTATTTAGGTCACATAATTACCGACAAAGGTGTCAGTCCCAATCCAGATAAAATCAAGGCCGTCACTCAGTTTCCGACTCCTAAATGTCCAAAAGATATTAAATCTTTCCTAGGTTTAGTTGGTTACTATAGGCGATTTATTGAAAACTTTTCAAAAATTACTAAACCTTTAACTTCCCTTTTAAAAAAAGATATTTTATTCCATTGGTCAGGAGAACAAGAATATTCATTCAATATCTTAAAGCAAAAATTAACAACAGCGCCTCTTTTACAATATCCTGATTTTAATCAACCATTCGTGTTAACAACGGATGCCTCTAACTATGCTGTAGGTGCAATATTATCACAAGGAGACATAGGAAGAGATAAACCTATCGCATACGCATCAAGAACGCTGAATAAAGCTGAAGGCAATTATTCTACCACGGAAAAGGAACTGTTAGCAATTCTGTTCGGTGTAAAAACGTTCCGTCCCTATCTTTTCGGTTATCGTTTCAAAATCGTTACTGACCATAAACCTTTAATTTGGCTATTTAACGTGAAAGACCCCGGCTCTAGACTTATCCGTTGGCGTCTAAAATTAGAGGAATATAATTACGAGATTATACATAAACGAGGCAAATTAAATTGTAACGCCGACGCTTTATCACGATTCCCGCTACAAGATCATAGTGACTCAAATCATACCATATGTGCAGTCGATAATAATAAATCCCCGGAGCCTAATAATTTGCTTCACAATTGTTCTCCGCCTTCTAAACCAGAAACTTACGAGGCATTCCTAAAACTGATTAAACAACCTAATCTTAATTTCAATACTGTCATACAAGAATTCAAAGAATCGTTACTCAAGGCCAAGTGTAAACTGGTAGTTTATCCTACATCAATCGATTTAGACGATTCTGTACCTTACTGTAAAGAAATTATAGATTCATCTACAAGTCAACCTAATATCCACGACATAGAACGCGAACTTTACACTTTCTGCAACACATCAAACGATACTCATTTGTTTACACATTTGTTTGTACGAGTACACCATTATGACGAGATGTCATATAAAGATATTTTTAAATTATTAGTTGATTATAGGGACATGGTAAAATCTTTGTATACGGAAGAGAAAGAAATCGCCATATCAGATTTTTACGATCCATTCACAAAAATCTCGTATACAAAAATATACAATATCATAGCTTACGTTTTCCATAATACAAACATTAAAATTAATATATACAGAAATAGTATTCTATTCCCTACACCTAATGAGATTAAGCAGATACTTCGTGACAACCACGATTCGCCTACTGCTGGACATCCGGGCATCACCCGAATGTTAGAAAGAATTAGATCTATGTACTGGTGGAAAACCATGCGCCAAGACATCGAAGACTACATTAGAAATTGCAGATCTTGTCAGATAAACAAACCTTTACGTCAGACGAATCGTGCCCCTATGATAATAACTTCAACGGCAACGAAACCTCTTGAAAAGATATATTTAGATTTGGTCGGTCCCCTCCCAGAAACTTATGAATTTAAATATAAGTTCATACTCACCATTCAAGATGATCTCACTAAATACTCCCAGGCATATCCACTGCAAACTTGTTCGGCGGATGAGACTGCTAAAAAATTAGTCCATTTTATATCTCACCTTGGAATCCCCAAAATGATAGTAACCGATCAAGGCACAAACTTCAGCTCTGACGTTCTCAAACAACTTAATAAATTATTTAGCATTAAACATATTTTCGCCGCTCCATATCATCCACAAACCTGTGGAGCTCTAGAAAGGAGCCACTCTACTCTAAAAGAATATTTGAGGCCCTTTATCAATGAAAACGCTCATACATGGGACTTGTACCTAAACACAGCTATGTTCTCGTATAATTCTAACGTCCATTCGACTACTGATTATAGCCCATTTGAATTATTATTCGGTTTCAAGCCATATATTCCAAAATCAATCGATTCACTAGAAAATAACACTTACACAGATTATATTAGAGTTTTAAACCATAGATTATATTATAGTAGGCAGAAAGCCCTACAGAATATTCAAAATTCGAAAGAGAGGTCTAAACGTCTTTACGATTCTAACGCTAAACCTAAAACTTACAATGTCGGTGACTTAGTATATTTAAAATGTCACCACAAGCAAAACAAAGCTCTGTCTCCAGTATGGAAAGGTCCATACAAAATTGTAAAGATCAACGGTAATCATACGGTGACGCTTCTCATTAATCGGAAACATGTGCGTCATCATTATGACGAAATAAAACTATCGTCAGGTGATGTAATAACTTAATCTCATTTCAGGCACCTTACTACAACAAGCACGTGTCATCAAGCCGTCACACAAATATCAAGTAGCTCTGGTTTATATTTCGATAAAATGATTAATGTTAAGTTTACCAATGATAATTGGAATATAGTTACGTATTTAAATATTGGTAAAATACAATCGCATTTAGAGACAGTCGAATCTCTATTCAGTAAAGTTAGTTCCTATTGTAAAGAGTACAGTTCTTCTAAAATCCAAGTAGATTGTTTAAATTCGTTGTCAGCGTTGCAGAATCAACATGACAACAATATTAAGAAGTTTTCTTCGGTATCTTATATAATAAATAGCAACAACATAGTCAATGCTAAACGTCCTAAACGAGGCTTGATTGACGCCGGTGGATCTCTTTTAAAAACCTTTTTCGGCACTCTAGATTCGGAGGATGCTGTGAAATTTTCAAACGCTATAGATCAAGTTCAATCAGATGAAAAAC